AAAAAAAAAAAAAAGAAGAAGAAGAAGAATAGATTAGAAGGGAGAAATAAGGACTAGTTGTTGAGTTGTGTTGAAAACTCGATCCATTGTCTCAAGGCAAAAGTGTTGACGTGTGAATTTTGGAGAATCGAGTTTATTTAAGTCCCTAGAGGTGAATTCATTGTTTCAAACGCCTATCTTTCAAATTTTGGCGTAATCACCTCAATTCAAGAAAATTAGCCACACATTCCCATATTACCTACCTCGGACCAAAGAGCCTAACAATTGAAAGCCACAAAGCCCCAATGATCCCAATAGCTTATTGTTCAATATTAGTTGAGCAAAATAATTTGGTGAGTATTTGGAGTCAAATATATGCATGTAAGTATAAATTCTTTCTATCTTTAACTTGCAAATATTGGATACTTGAAGCAATTGTATGACTTGTGGTTTTTGGTAATAGTGAGTGACTAAGTGCCGTTGAATGTTAAGCTTGCGAATACCTATGAATTGTCATGATAATTGCAAGTTCTGAAAACGCGAAGTTGACCAATCGATCTATGTAATGAGATGTATGGTTTTGTTGTGTGTTATTAATTTAATTTTACTTGAGGACAAGCAAAAGTTCAAGTTTGGGGGTGTGTTAAGTGTATATTTATACACTTAATTGTACCTTTTAATTGGAGCTTTTGATGTGTTTTTACGATAATTGGTGCTTAATATGGCTATTATTTGTATTTTAGGTGCAAATTGAAGAATTGGCAACTTTTGGGGTGAAAACTGCAAATTCAGAGAAAAAGTGGGCCAAAAGTGAAAAAATCAGAAATCTGGAGAATTAAAGACCGCACGGCCGTGCGGATTTTAGTTCAAAATCTCACACGGCCGTCCGGGTGGACGTGATGGCGCAGTGAAGGGAACTCAATTATACAAGGAAACCCGCCCTATTAGACTTTTGCACCCTATTTAAAGGCCACAAGCACACAATTAGACCTATCTTGGATCTTTTTACCTTTCATCTTTATTTTAGTTTTTAGTTTTTATCTTTCGACACGCAATCAAGGAGCAAGAACGAAGACGAAGACTTGACGACTCTTCATCATAGTTCTCCTCTTTTATTGTTTTTATGATTTTTCGTATTTTTATTATGTTTTCCGTAACGAACATGAGTAGCTAAGTTTTTATTCTAGGATTTTATTGGAACCCTATGTGGTAATTCGAACCTATTTTTCTACTTTTATGCAAGTTTAATTCTTCGATTATTTCTTCTATCTTGATTTTATTTAGTGCATGAGCGTAGCTAACTTATGTTGCTATTTGTTATTGTTAGAATTGATTGACAGATCGTTTTAATAATTAGAACAGGGATAGGAGAGCCTTCGAGTAGTTTTTCACCGAATGCGTGTGTTGATTGCATGTATTATCGTAGACATACAGATAATACCTTAGGTAGCCGTTTGCGAGACTTGATATTTAATGCTTTATTTATACTAGGTTTGCATAGACATATAGTGAATCTTTTATGAATAATAGGTTTATAGCGCAGCGACAGCTGGTTATGAATAATTTCGTGTCTTGGGTTAATAATCGGGAATCGTAACTTGCATGATAGGAGATTAATCGGGTGAAGAATTATCGCATAGGGGGAAGATAAAATCCTAGATCCGTTTTATATTGATATTTTCTCGTGATTACTTGCTTTCTTAATTAGTTTAATTTATTTAGTTAATTAATTTGACAACCCTGCGTAGGCTGGATAAAAATCACAATTGTTAGGATTTGGTACTTAGGATTAAATAATTTACGTATTCCCTGTGGGATCGACATCCGACTCTCACGAGTCTACTTTACTACTTGTTTGCGATACGTACACTTGCGTGTTGGTATTTAGCACCCAACAGTGATCCTTGATCTACACATAATAACACACAAATCTATGTGTATGTACTAAGTGGGTAGTTATTTGTATAGATCTATAGTGCAAAACCAGCTGGTGTTTTTCATCAGGTGTATCATCTCATAGACCATCTAGGGTTCTTTCAATTCAGTTACAACAATGAATTTGGACTTCTTTGCTTCGGTTTCTTTGCTAAACAAAAAATCGAGATTTTAACGAGTTCGGTCCTAAATTCCAACAAATTATCGAATTTGTGGAATACCAAATTTTGATAATATAAATGGGAATCAAGAATTAACATTATTTCAATCTCGAATTCCAAACTCACCTCTATATTTATTTCCCATACCACTAGCAAAAAACGAGTATGTATATAGCATTTAACCACCTAAACTTTATCTGCTTTTGCTGATTACCATCTCAACCAAAAAAAAAAAAGTTCTGATTCCACCTGAATTTAATAAGTTGTACCACGTTGCCCTTTTTCCCATTTTCAGGCCAAAATGGAAGGAATTAGACGCATGTGTGTCGCACATGCGATTTGGAAGGACTTTTTTGTCTTTTCAAAATCACAATTCTTAATTCCTCCATTTTCTGTCAATACCATCATTTTTGTTCTTCTTCTTCGCTATTAATCTTCTTCTTCCTCTTCTTCATCTTCTTCTTTTTCTTGCTCTTCTTCATCTTCTTCTTTTTTTTTGCTCTTCTTTCCACAACCCTTTTCCACAATCTTGTAAATAGAAAAATGAAATCGTAAAAAGGCAAGAATCCAATATTAGGTTCTCTGCTCGTTGTTTCATTTTCTCTACTTCTCCTACCCACCCCCACCCCCACCCACCACCACCACCTGCCGCCACTGTCATTCCCGGAAGACAATCTATATTCTCAGGGGCGGACCCAGGAGGTATTGGGTGGGGGGCTAGAATATTTTTTTGGACTAAAATGGTACAAAATTTTAACTTTAGGGGGCTAAAGTGTATAAATTAATAGATAAATAACACAAAATATTAGGAAAAAAAAAAGGTAAAAAAAGAAAATTTATGCAGGGGCGGTGGCCCCCCCAAGGCATACCTTGAGTCCGCCTCTGTATATTCTCTCTCGGAAACAATAAGGTGTGAACATGGTTCGCCGGAACGGAACAGTGTATTATTGCGGGCACTATCTACAAAGATAAAACTATAGGCTATTTCTACAAGTATAGCTTCTTCTCCACGGATTATATTTCTCTTTTAAAGCTCAAACAATGAATGGATCCCCATGCGAATTGTAGCTTTCTGCCTATGCACCCTTATCATCTTTTCGGTTGTATTTTCCATTTCCATAACCCTAACCGTCCAGACCACACTTTGCCAAGGAGAACCAAGAGAAGAAGAAAGGGACAGAGAAAAAGCTGAAAGAAAATGATGATAAGAGCCTTTAAGTTGATGATGTTTTTTCAATTCCGGTGAAAAATTCGCCAAAAAATTGACTTTGGGGCAAAGTGCAACAAAAACAAAATTTACAAGAGGGGGGCGTCTCTTTTTCGAATTGCTAGGCGGAAAGTGCGATTTTTTGAAATTTCTATGGGCCGAAGTGCATTTTGTCCAAAAAAATATAATGATCATTCTAATAAAGGGCAAATTGCACGTCACCGCCTATAAAATTCTAATTTTTACACTTTACCCCCTTTAAATTTAAAAAGAGTGAATGTCCCCTTCAAAATGTTATTTTTGTTGCATATTGCCCCGATAGCAAAATCCCGATGGATTATTCACCGGAATTGAGTATTTTTGTTGCACGTTGTCCCTTTAAATATTATTTTTGTTGCACATGGCCCCTTTAAAATGTTATGTTTTGTGCACTATACCCATCAACATTGGTTTTTAGGGCAAAGTGCAACCAAAACAATATTTCTAAGGGAGATTATCTATTTGTTTTAATTTTTAGGGGGAAAAGTGTGAAAATAGAAAATTTATAGGGGTGTGAAGCCCAATTTTTTCGTTCTAATATATTATGCGTACAGTACAAGATTCAAATAATAATTACTAAACTCCAACAAATATATACTATCAAAACGTCAACCCTCATTTTGTCATATACAAATCTGAAACTCAGTCTTAAATATTGACTTTGAGAGTCTTTCTTTATCTATCTACCTCGTAAAGACATAACATATATATATATATATATATATATATATATATATATATATATATATATATATATATATATATATATATATATATATATATA